AGAGATTTTTCCTATTTATAACTATTGGGAGGAGCTCATGTAGTTGCCTGAGGAATCAAATCCATGACTCAGTACACTCTGACTCCATTATAATGAAGACAAATGAAAATAACCCATTATTAACATCCAACATGACTGCAATTAATAATATTCATTAGTATTTATCAAGCAGGATTGTGTCATCAAGACTAAGAATAAGTTCATAGTACGTCCACACGCTTACAGAAGGATCGAATGCCTAAAAAAGTTTTTGAAATCTATTCGTCTCAATGCATTGAATTCTTTATACAGTTTGTGGCATACCAGAGGTAATGACATCCATGAACAAATTCAGAGTCCGACACGACTCCCAACTATAAAAAACAGCCTTAATAGCCTTCCGCTGAGCATCCCAAGCTTTCATGTATGAATATTTTATGTTGAACTTTGGTTCTATTCGACCAATTATTTCCCTCGGCTTTAAGTTCGTCTATTTTCTTATTGTGGGTAGTATATAGAAACTTATAAACTGCAAATTGTACTGATGGTGACCACTTTTGAGAATTGGAGTGACAGATGTATGTTAGTACTTTATAGATGAGATTTTTCATATACTACCTAAGCATTTAATTTGAGCTGAATGCAACCGCTATACGCAAGGAGATGCCGAGTAATCATGCTTTGCACATGCAGTCGTAAATTTCTTTTTATTTGATACGATGACAATGTATTGAGCATTATTTATGATTGACTATCCTTGTAATGCAAATTACAAATCAATCTTTCTTGTGAAGCACATTTCTTCAATTAAGTCTGTGAGAATTGAGAAGTCATCATCTACTATCACCTCATCAAGGACATACTCGAACTCAATTTTTTGATCCCATTGTTGTGTATTCCTATAGGTGTCGACATAGTTATTATTGGCCACCATTATGTCCTCAGTGCCTATTGATCTGGAGCAGTAATCTTGACAGAAAGGTGGTCAATAATATTTCGACAAACTAAGTTAATAGAAAGCTTCAAAGGATTGTACTTGAGGGCTCTAAGAATCCTTAACTTAAGCTATTCTAAATTGAATATATTTCTACTGGGTATACAGAACTAAAAATTACAATACCGACCATTAATATGTAAACAATTTTTCAAATTGTCAAAATAATTCTCTTAATACATTATAAATGTTAGCCGCTTAGTATGATATATAATTTCAAAATATACAGCATTCGACTAACTACAAAATATTTTCGATTCAAACTTCATTCCACTACTGGCAAAATATTTTGAAAACAAATAATGTTTCGCTAGTACAAATTGGTCATATCATACAAATGGTGCTCAGTACTACAATGAATTTAAATTGAATTTAGATTTACTGCTCCTAAAGAAATAAGAAAATGCATTACTACTTATTTGAGCGAAAGTAGATTTAATTTTAATGATTTTTTAATAACAATATTGCTTTAGAAGAAATAATACAAATTTTGAATTATTTTTTTCATTTAGCTTTTTCGGGGCATGAACTCCATCACATTACCCCAACATTTTTAAGGCAAAATTTTTAGAAGAAAATTGATAACATTACAAAAAAATTACTTTAAACAAAATTAGCTTTAAATAAATTATTGATAACATAATTATCCTAACCCTAAAATACTTCTATCATACATCACATACATAGAAGATTGCTTAATAAATTAATTAGAAAAAAAATAGAAGAACGCTTCCAACATCTTCTCCATGATAATAAAACAAAACAAAAAACATAAATTGCTCACAAAAAATATAATGTCATACTTCTTCCCTAACTACATCACAAAAACTAACAAAAAAAGCTTAAATTTTTTTTCATCTCCATTTTTCTCTTAAACTTAAACTCCACTAAATAAAATAAGTTCTTATAAACTAATAACTTAGTTAAGTAATCCTAGAAATCAAAACTTTGCTTACCTAAACACTCCAACCAGCAGGGAAGAGTAGATCGATGATGTAGGGCACGAGGAGAGGAAGCAAACAATTGGGTGAGGGAGATAACCTGAAGGGAAAGTGCCTTTTCTAAGCAAGGCCAAAGTCGGAAAAATTTTAAACTAAGTACAATTAGAAAACTTATTAAGAGCTTAAGCATGGTTTTTTTAAAAAATTAAAATTAGGCAAAGTTACCCGTTTAACCGGCAATTTACCCCTGACTGATGTAGTCAAACGCCTGGCGTGGCTCACTGATATGGCAGACCTAAGTCGTCCATTAAACGGTCAAGCTACCGTTGAATTTCTTATCATGTACGTTGAAGTTGAAAAGATAAGTTTGACGCGAGGTAATACTGAGCCTCCAAATTCACTAACATATGAATTTTCGACCCAAGGTGAAAGGGTTGAAGTGCTTGCTGGTGCTTCAAGGTTATAACTAGAAGAAGAGCTTATTGATGAGTGAGTTCCATATATTGTATTTTCTTAATTGTCCAATATTATTAATTTTTATTGATTAGTAAATCAAGATGAAAATGTTGAATGTAGTGATATAGAGAACCAACAGACGCAGGAAGCTCCTATCCTTTCTACACAATCGATTCCTTCTAATCATTACAGTTATGAGACTATGAGTAGTGGCTCTAGCGAACAGTATTCTGATGATGATGATGATCTTTTAACAAAGTTGAATGATGGAGTTGCAATTTTTAATGAAGATATTCGTAATGTCATCCAAGATAACTATTCCAGATCAATCGGCACTGCAGACACGATGTTGGCCAATAATAACTATGCCGACATCTGTAGGACTACACAATAATGAGATCAGAAAGTTGAGTTAGAGGATGTCCCTAACGAGAACAGGTGATAGTGGAGGATGACTTCTTGTTTTCCACTGAATTAATTGAAAGAATGTGCTTTACAAGAAAGGTTGATTTGCAATTTGCATTTCAAGGACAATCAATTATAAATAGTATTTAATACATTGTCATCGCATCAAATAGAAATAAATTTACAGTTGCATGTGCAAAGCATGATTGCTCAATGTCTCCTTGCCTATAACGATTGCATTCAGCTCAAACTAAATGCTTAGGTGGTATATGAAAAATCTTATCTATCAAGTACTAACATCTGCCACTCCAATTCTTGAAATTGGCCACCATAAGTGCAATTTGCAGTTTTCAAGTTTTTATATACTACCTACAATTAGAAAAAAGATGAACTTAAAGCCGAGGGAAATAATTGGCCGAATGGAAGCAAAGTTCAACATAAAATATTCATACATGAAGGCTTAGGATGCTCGGTGGAAGGTTATTAAGGTTGTTTTTGGTAGTTGGGAGGAGTCATATCGGACTCTGAATTTGTTCATGGATGATGCTGCTTCTGCTATGCCACAAACTGTATATAGAATTCAAAGCACTGAGATGAATGTATTTCAAAGACTTTTTTTAGCATTCGGTCTTTCTGTAAGTCGGTGGACGTACTATCGACCTATTCTTAGTCTTGATGACACATTTCTGCTTGGTAAATACCAAAGAATATTATTAACTGTGATTGTGTTGGATGCTAATAATGGGTTATTTCCACTTGCCTTCGCTAAAGTGGAGCTAGAGTGTACTGAATCATGGATTTGATTCCTCAGGCAATTGCATGAGCTTCTCCCAGTAGTTATAAATAGGGAAAATCTCTGTGCCATCTCTAACATGCATGCCGGTTTAGTTCGAGGATGTAGGAAAATTTCTCTAATGCAGCTCACCGGCATTGCTTAGGCATCTGCATGAAAATTTCAAGAAAGGAATACAATAAATAGGGTAAGGTGACGTTGAATTTATGTGCCAGGAAATTTATACAGCTGGCAATACAGACGAATTTCACGTTTATAATAGATGCATGACAAATATCAAGAATATCAAGGTTGGTATCCATTAGTGGTTGGTGGACCGAGATGTGACATGATAATCTTTAACGCATGATGGTGGTCTTAGATATGATGTTATGACAATAAATGCGGCCAAGTCTTTTAATGGTGTATTAAAAATAGCTCATGGTTTGCCAGTTCAAGCCTTGATTACTGTCATATATTTTAATATAGTTGTAATGTTCATACTACATTTGGAGTTCATTACAGCTGATGAGTAGTAAAATAATAGCTTTTTGCCCCACCTAAAAGGGTCGAGGAAGAGGCAAGAAGATTGCTAGAACCAATCTGTCTTAGCATGCACGAATTCCAAGTTCTTTACAAGTCCTCCAGATTATGCCGTGTCAACTTAATTGATGGAAGAAGATGTATGTGCAGCTATTGGAAACCATTATATATCATATACTGTGTGCGCATGTCGTCTGTTGTGTTACGATGTTAAGACGAAGCCATTTAGATTATGTATCTTTGTACTTCAGCATGACTAACCATCACATCCTCAACAAGGAAGAATGGGGATAACATGACCCCACTGTAGGCCGATATCCTCTTCTCCCGTCAAACTATTGCATGCGGTCTGGTCGTCCAAAGACTATTCGCTATCGCAATACAATGGACGAATTAAGAACACGGACTAACAGAGTTTGTGGAGCTTGTCATACATTTGGACATAATCGAGCCACATATCTAGTTAGGCTTGGTTGTATGAATTAGGACATCATGTGTTTGTTGATGTACTATGTAATGAACATTCTTATGTAATGAATGTTTATGTGTTATAGTTTTTGGAGCTTGTCATATGTACTAGAATTTCATGTGTCGTTGATGTTACCATTTGCTAAAGGTTTGCTATTAATGGAATTAGTGCAATCATATATCATGTGTTATGATGTGTTTTAGTTGGGCGAGGTTGAACACGTAGCAACCTAAGTTTTAATGATCATGTATGCTGAATAACTTTGATAGTGATTTTCATGATGTTGATTTACAGATATCTTTAAATACTTGTCAGAATTCATTTAATTTTGGTGTTAATAATTTTTAGAACTGCTTTCATTATTAATATTAATTTAACGGAATGTAATATTATTTACTGTCATTGCTAAATGCTAATTCCTTGATTTCCTAAATTTGACAGGTTGAATAGCATTGGAAGAACGTCAGCGTAAGAAGATACGGCCCGCTAGCGAGCCATCAATTGAGGCTACTAGCAATGCATGACCCCCAGCTCAGCTTCACCCGCACATTGCTTCTTTGCATGGTACATATAGGGCTATACATCTTGATGGAGTACATACCTTTTTGTTATGCTCTTTGAGATCATCCTAAAAATAAGTATTATAATTAATTGCTACTGAACTGTTCTCTTTATAGGGGACAATTCTAGAAGCGACATCACATCTTCTGATGTTCACGACTAGCCGGTCAACTGTCCAAGATTTATGGATGCATTAAGAATAACTGGCTTAGATTATTTTAGCTAGATGAGATACTTAAGGATAGACCACCATCTCTTAATAGTTTTAGTGGAGAGATGTTCATCACAGACAAACAGTTTTCACCTTACAATTGGTGAGATGACCACCACTTTATAAGATATGGCTATGATTTTATGTGTGCATATAGATGGCCCAACTTTGGTGGGTCACACAATAGTTTGACCAGGGAGACGTTGGTTGAGTTGACCAGATTGTTGCGATGACGTATTAGGGAGTCATCCATAGCCCATTGTAGTCTACCGTGACCCTTTCGACCACCGAATCACGTCCTGATTTCATATGGGTCAAGCACAGGCGCAGACTTGCATCCAGCTTAGGTGGTTGTGTTGGACTATATGGTGTGACTCATACTTGGACTTGAATGAGATGAATTTTTTGCAGCAAGTTTGAGCATACGTCTTGTTTATCATGGGTTGCCATCTACTACCGGATATATCAGGTTCAGAGATACATTTATAGTACTTGACTATTATAGAGGATTTGGCGGTATTCAGTATATACTCTATTGAGGGAGTGGTCTTGGCCCACTTGTATTGGGAGTTGAGTGAAAAAACTAGGCCTAGTAGGGCCAATATAGATGGATGCATATACTTGTTACAGATTTAGACCTGGGAGCACCTACGTGTTGGTCGACCACACTTGTGTCATTTCCAGTATAGCTTGATGGTATAAGAGTTGGGTGCAGGTACAAAGTTAAGTATTTTTTATTTCTAATATGACATTATATTTTTTTTTCAATCATCTAAGATTTATTTGGAATAGGTGGATTGAGGATCGGCTCCGAGAATTTTCCGTGAGTGATATTATTAGCTATAGGGATGAGCTGGATGGTTTACTTGATAGCCAAATATTGTTTGATTTTTAATACTAATGTACTTGTTTTATTATTTTCAGTAAACAACATAAATTTTGAATGTGCAGGTCATTTGAGAGCCGTACACATAGGATATCCGTGCTCAGGTTGCACACATATGTCTGACAGGTGAAGATATATGGACTGCAAGAGTGTCTGTGATTAGCTGGAAGAGGGAGGAGTGACACTTGCTTGATCGAGTTCTACGCAAGTTCAGGTTATGCCCTACTACTGATGTCCTACTTATGGAGCCCGACTTTAAATGAGTAGATGGTCGTGGGAAGCCAAATATAGATTGAATGTTATACCACTAGGCCCACATTTCCATATGAGAAAGTAGGAGAGTATACGTAGTTATCGGGGAGCATCTTAGTGAGGACAGTGACTATGTTGTGCATCAGTACCTACATTGGTACAAGTTATAGGCCACACTGTACATGTTCAAGGCACATGTTGAGCTTTCGACCACGTCATATTCTAGAGCTCCCTCAGAGCACCTTCTACCTAGTATCAAGTTCCTAGACCCTTAATTGCAAAATTATTGAATAAGTTATATTATGATTGCAGAGGGACTTCTTCATTGGTACTGAGCGCGCTTTGCAACATCACTTCAACGGCACTGAGAATACGCAGAAGTAGCAGGACATAAATATGGTGGCGGAGCTTTGCCATGTCTTGCTTCGGTAAATGTATATTAAGGATCATGAATATTTTGATGATACAGCTGGACATGATACACCACTCAACATGAGCCAGGATGCTCCTCAGCCTCATAATGGATTTTTTGGCCCAACTTCATATCGTGATCAGGGGCCCTCTGAGGATATCTTTAGTTAGTTGATGCCAGGGGATCGTTATGCATACCTCAGCCCAGATTTTGTATCAAGCAACATTCAGACACCTAACGAACCTTAGCCTGACATTGTTGTGAAGGAACAACATGTTACGTGAAATACCTCTCCGACCACCGCAACATTGCACTCCCGGCAGTGATGCATTGCCCCAGAGGTCACGTAGACGATGTTAGTTGAGCTTATGTTCGTATTATATATTATGTTAGCTTTTGATGATGTCATCTCCTGATGCTGTTAAGTTTTCTTGATGTTCACTTTAGATGATATTACTCTTAATGATGTTACCACTATTATGGATCATGTATTTTATTATGCTTCTGTTTTGCAATGGATATTTTGTTTTTAATTTTTATTGAGAAAATTTTATTTAAAGTCAATGTAACATAAAATGAACTTATTGACAATACCATACAAATGGGGATATGAAGCTCCATTAGAGAACTTTTACAACACATATTAAAAGCAAATAATAATAACAATAACAAATGGGTTTAACAGTAGTAGATAAAACAAACCTAAAAACTTTAAAAACATCATCACAAATATATTGAGTTAGACATTTCATATTATCAAATGGAGGCGAGCTTAGAGTTATGTCTGAGTTGGACAACATTTGAAGTTGTTCTCAAATTCTTGTTGAATATACTGTCTGTCTGTTGCATTCAGAAGCTCTTTATCTCTGGATACAACAACTCTCATTAGCTTCTTATAAAACTCTAATAGGAATTGATCCTCTTTACGACGTCATGTGATAAAGAATACAGTGATCTATAACGACCCTTGATCTTTGAACGATCTCCTCGACACAACCTTTTTTGTCGCTTTCGATCTCAGGAATCTGACTTTAGGAAATGCAATGAAACCCAATGTTGAATATCGTCATCGAACCTCTGTTGTTGATATCTTCATTCCACATATCTAAGATCATCGCCTGTCATGCACAGCTTAATTTTCATAACCTTATCATGCACATGTCATGATATGCAATCTTCATCTTCACTTCAGAAATGCATATAACACCAAAAATATTATTAGCTTTGGTCTTCACTTTAAGGATTTCATTAGTGGGTTACCAAAGTCTCTTTCAAATGAATGCTACCCTCTGAAATCATCTGCTTCGTGGGAGTTGTCCGAATCAAATCCATAACTGATGTATACATTGCAAATTGTTGTATAAGAAGTTGTAAAAAAAATTTCATACTACTTTAAGGATGGGGGAGCCTTGCACTACATATTTATACTGAAATCAAACATTGTAGAGTAAAAGAGCTCAAATTAAAAAAAAAGTTATAAAATTAGTAGAAACGTTATGAATATAATGACAAAAATAATAAAGATGACGATGATAAGCCTAATTGATGGAACAATACTTTTTTACAGCTCAAGTCACATGTCTGAAATCATACCTATCACAACTGCTTTAACATCCAATACCACCAAATAGTAATTTCTTACTTTTTTAAAAATATTTATGACGTGCATAAGTTGCCAGTTATTTCGGCGACTTATGTTAAATCTAATTTTCTCTGTTGGTAACGACTAGCTGACTCAGCTTTGCCTAGTCAGCATAAGTCGTCATTTAATTGGGTGATTTTGCTTAGTTTTAAATTTTTTTTTAAAACGTGCTTAGATGCTTAATATAAGTATTAATTGTGCTTAGTTTAAAAATTTCTCCTTAACGGGTAGCTTAGGTATGCTATTTCAGTGAGCCACAACAAACTTTTGACTACATCAATAAGGGGTAAATCGTCGGTTAAATGGGCGATTTTGTCTAATTTTAAATTTTTTAAAAATCGTGATTAGTGGTTTAATACGTTTTCTAATTGTATTTAATATAAAAATTTTCCCAATATACAAAATAAGGATGGCAATGTGATTGGTTAAACCTGAAGCATGATTCCCACTGGCCTAATTTTAGCATGTCTGGAATTATTAGTACAATGGGTTGAAATTAGAGCATGGGTAAGGGATTTTACACCTTCCTTTGGTATGGCTGCTAGCCTAAGGGGTTCTTGACTTGAATCCTGACATGGTTGTTTATATTTTCTTAATACATATATTAATATAGTTCTAATATAGAAAATGGTAAGTTGAACCTTGAAAAGATAAAATATATGTATTATGTAGTTTATAAATGTATTAGTGGAAACGCCCATTTATCAACATTTTTAATACTCATCCCTTAATTTACTCGTGGAATACATTAAAAATCTTCTTTTTGTAATCTAGTTGTGATTATAAAATTAGATTGTGAAACTTGCATCAAGCTTGTCACCAACTGTTTTTAACTTATCTCCGACCCAAGCCTTTGTTGTATGGGTATGAGGCAGGTGCAGGTGGGTAGAGGTTTGTGAAAATTACGGGTGATTGGATTGGCAAAACTTGAGCGGATCTTGGGATGTTTCCATTTCACCTTTGTTTGACTATTTGTATGGATCCCCTCATCTTTTTCACCCCAAAAAACTTATTCTATAGTACTAGCGAAAAACTGCTTAATTCTTACGCTTGACCTGTAATTGGCCTAGGCTTTGTTTGTGACAGCTTTTTTGTTGCTTTCTAAAACTATTTTCTAGTATAAAAATTTTTTGAATTATAATTTTTTGTACTAAAAAACAGTTTTATAAAGTAGCAAAAAAGCTTTCTCAAACAAAGACCTAGTTTTAGCTTGGAGGGGCATCCAGCCGCTCTACCAGCTCAACAGTAGTTCAAGATTTGAAACTTATTTCTCATTAACATTGGTCGGCAAAAAGATGCAGAAAATTGCAAAAATGGCATGAACAGCGAAGTTATTTTGCATGCAAACTAGCCTATATTTTTCTGACAGCACATTCAGTTAAGCTATTTTTATTCAGCACAGGGCCTGTAGCATTTTTTTTTTAAGTTTGCTTTGCGACTTACCATATTTAAATGCATAAGCTACTCAATAGGAAAATTTACAAATAGATTCTCCACTCATTACCATTGAAAAATTGCATTCCAAATTTATGGCAATAAGACTTCTGAAGTTTATGTAAGCTACTTACCACCACAAGGCCTTGACTAAGTGATGCTCTTTGGTTTCTACCTAGCGGTCTTTTGCATTAATCTTCACACATGCAACAAAGACGAATTTCTTCAGATCCTATTTAGATTTTGATGTGAAACATACAAGTAAACAAGAATTGCCGTTGATTTATGATTCTGTTGATGGTTCACGTGTCGGAATCTTTGAGTGATGTTCTCATCAGATTTAATATTTGTATTTTTCCTTAGGCCTATAATGGGCCTTGTGCCCCCTTATATTTGTACTGGATTTGGGCGCTCCTTAAGAAATATTGGGATTGATTTCTATTCTTTAAAAAATATATTTATGTTAGCTACTTTTGAGTGCCAATTAATCAGGATGGTCAAAGCATAAAAATTTGTTGCCAAAGTCTTGTAGGTGGCCAAAAAAAAAAAAAACATTGTAGTATCTGACTATAGAATATACACCTGATCTAATTAGAACTGCCCTTCTTAATCTTTCGGCTGCACACACTCATTATCAAGTTTGCTTTTTTATTTTCTTAAAAAAAACTGAAATCTATCATACAGACAATAACGTGCAGCACTTCAGCCGCGCATGCATGCCTCTGATGATGTTTATGGCTACAACCATTTGATCAATTTGTAAAGTTGTCACATTAGTTCTTATTGAAGTCTTTTATAGTTGAATGTTACATTGCCAATTCAAAGTCCAAAGCAGTCTTTCTGTTTGTAATTTGACCAAACTGTTTATAAAATTCTTATCAAAATTTCATCCGCGCCACTTGCTTCGATGACTTTAGCTCTACTTTCTCACTTTATTAATTTCATTGACAATTAATAGACTTTCTTTCATTTTTCTCATACTAAGGTATGAACTAAACATTTTTTTGATCTAGTTTCCTCCGCATAATTGTTTTAATAATTCTGGCTGGCTGGGTTTTTGTAGGAATAACATAATAAATATTTGTTTGTTATGCAGAATTTTGGGTTTGTGACGCCATTTCCTTCGTTAGCATTGGTTGTTACAAGCCTGATTGGAATTTTGGCAGCAGTGTTTATATTTCAGTCTGCAGCTCGAGATTGATCCTTCTTTGAATGATAAATTTTTAAGTGTTACTTTTGATGATTGACTGAACATGTACTATGCTTATGTAAAGATATTAAGGCTCTGTTCCGTACAATAGTGTTCATATTGTGTACTACTCTTTAACATTCACATATGAGTTGTGATATAATTCAGTTCTTATGCATTCAAGTTATAGAGAAAGTGTATGCACATAATTATAGAGAAAGGCAGATAACCTTCTGATTATTGGCTCTCTCGTGCATTATTCCTTAAGACACTCACATCACATGTTGTCTAAACATTCTAAGCCTTATAAATTGGATGGTCACCACATTCATATATGCTCCCTGAACAATCACCTGACGACCTTCTACAACAAGTCATGGTGATCACCATCATCACCAACGTCGCTTGGTTGGATGGTAAAGCAATGCCTCACTTTTCAATCGATTGAGATGATTTTTTTACTACTTCTTGAAGCAATTTTTTAGCTAAAAAATTAAAATTTTTATACTAAAAGTTGCTTAAAAAAATGATAATAAAATCGTCCCAAACGAAACATGACTCTCAATCTGTAATGGTCTTCAATCACTCATGTGGCTCGTCCACTCAAAACAAGTGTAGCTACGAGCCCACTATGCTGCTAAAAGTACTTTGGCAACTCTTATATGATTGTTAGATAGTAGTGATTCTCACCCCATCATCATTGATTAAAGCAATATCTCACCTCACAGTTCGTATGATGGAGACCTAATAATATTTATCTCCATTAGATAGGACATTGGTTTGTCCATAATCCACACAATATTTACATATTTATTTCCCTACCTTTTGTAATTTTTTTCTTAGAAAAGATTCTTTGTATACCTGGCATGAAAATAACATTATGTTTTTAAAGCAATTTTTTCATTCTAATAATAAATTTATCAAATTCATATTCGCTTCTTTTCATGTGTAGGATATATACATGTCAACAATTTTTTTGATGGGGCAAACTAAAGATGATGCACGAATGACCAATTTCTTCGCTCTAGTCACATCAACTTTTCTCTTTCCAATTTCAAGAGCACGTAACTCCATTGGCATCATAGATTTAGGCTTCATTTGATACGGCTTTTTTATTGCTTTCTAAAACAGAATTTTAGTATAAATTTTTTTATTTTTAAATTAAAACTCCGTCTTAAAAAGCAATAAAAAAGCCGTCCCAAACAAATCCTTAGTCATCCATCACGTTCAATTCTCAAAACATGTTATCTCCAAGTTTAATGTCAATTTAATGCCGCAACTATCAAACTTTTTTTGTAAGGTCAAAATTAATATTTCTATTATATGTCATACAACCCTATCACCTTTCTTTTAGACTCATATTTTTGCTAGGATAGTCTACCTCATAAATAACATTGGTTTTGAAAATTTGGCTGATCGATTTGATCAGTTCAACAATGAACCGGTCATAGGATCATATTGGTTCATATTAAAAACTGTCATGAACCGATCATAACTGCGGATTCAACCAGGCAATCGGTTTTGGTTCTATTCAATATTATTTGATTTAAATAGTTAAATAAATTAATTCAATAAAGTTAGTATAAAATGTTATTAAATATAATAATTTAATTTAAATTTAATATATTTAGATTTAATTATAAGCATTAAATTTACATAATAATTATTTTCTAGCCAACCACCAACAAAATATCTACATGGTTCTGCCATTCCATGTGAGCTCTTGCCACATGTAAATTAAATGGCTTTATAAACAAGACTAAAGCAAATCTCTTATGTTATGAGACTAAATAATTTAGTTAATGTTTTCAAATTTAAATATATACATTACATATTTTTAAACAATTTTTTTAATAATATAAATAATAATTATTTTTTATTAATCATTTTTAATTATTTATCAATTTAATTTTTTTCATGCAGAATCATGTTTATAATGTAAATTTAACATATAAGTTATAATTGTAAATTTTATCTAAATATATAGCATAAATTAGCAATAATTTATATTAAATTTATATGTTTATATGTTAACTAAATTTATTTTTTATTCACAAATTCTTATTATTGCATAATTATTTTATTTCGTAATATATCATTTATTTTTTATTTAAATAATTTTAATATTTATTACATCATTCGATTCAACTCTGGTCGAATTATTGAATCTTGAATCTCTCTTTTTTCCGGTTCAATATCCAACATTGTAATGGCACTGCTGCTTATGCCATCACTTTAACTAAGAAAATTTCTAGGGTTGTTTAAGTTAAATTGGATAAGTGGAAATGATGGAAACAGTTAAAACAAAAGTTATATTTGTCTTACTAATGACTTGTTCACCATGTCTGTTGGGCTATTATCTGGATGCCTGGGAATATTTGTCACCTGCTTGGGTTATTTACTGGATTCCTATTGTGTTTTTTTTGGATATCTTAAGTCAGCTTAGTTGGAGCGTGTCTTAGGTTTGGCTGGACTTCTGCTTATGTTATTCTCCAATGATGGGATTCTTTCTGGTTGTTTAAGGTACATAGTGAATATCGTTATATGCTTATCTGTCGGTTAGTGGATTTTATGGTTTGTTGGCGGCATATCTTTGTTGCCAAACCAACTCATCGTCTGATTGTTCTTTTTGGCTACTGGTGCTGTTGCAAGATTGTATGCTTTGGCAGGCTATTTTTTGACTTGATTGCTGCAGCAGTGGCTCATATTTATTTTTGGCACGCCATTTTTTGGGTCGTGGACAATGATGACTCCAGCTCTCTCCTTTTGGATGGTCTTTGGGCAACTAAAGGAGGATTTGATTTCTTCTATAATCGTACAAGCTCGTTCCGAGTCTCTGCCAGACAGGATTTCTGTATGTTTTGGTTTTTCTCTTTATTGTTGTATTTAATCTTTTTACCATTTTGTCTTAGCCTCTTTTTGTTGGCAAAGTTCTTTTTTGGTTCTATTTTGTAATTCTTGTTTTTTTTATAGAATGGGCTAAACCCTCAATTTTTCCCCCAAAATAAAAATAATATATAAAATAAATTGTTCACGTGCTCCACACTTGATATATCTTCTCGGTATGAACAACTCCCAATTATTCCAAACATTCTGTTTTTGAGTACCCATTGCTATAAATAAGCCCTCAAGTTGGGAGTTGTACTTGAATAAAAAATTGTGAGTTCTTCAGAAATAAATTATTTGCTTGGTTCTTTAATCATCCTTTTCCTCAATCTACTCCATTTTGATTGAAATAGCATTCTTTTCTATCCTAATTTCTTTGATCAGATTATGTGAACCAGATTTTAGGCCTTTTGGTTTAGGTCATATTAACCAAAATATGCATGCTTGTAACTGAAAACAGTATGAATCATTGCGCCTTTCAATACCAACCTTTTTGATTGACAAAATACTTAACTGAAGACAAAAAAAAAATTGCTTGAATCATGCTCCAAAAACAATAAATCACTGGAAAAACCTCAGCAAGCAAACCAAAAACTTCAGAGTAAATTCTTTCTTCTTTACCCCAAACAACTTTCTCTTGCCAATTAATCCCTTCCTGTAGGAGAAACCCTACCAGGAAACAAACCATCATCAGCTGGTGGAGCCTTCATAATCAGCCACAGAACCATAGCAGAAACAACAAAAGCCTCCTCAGGTTATATGTGAAACAAGAGATACCCACCGCTGCTTGTCCGGGTGGTGAAGAGTCGGCTGGGCAAAGCTCAGGTCCCTGATTCGAATCCCTTGACAAGCAGTGAAAGCCTTAAGTGTTGGCCCGTGTAAATTGGTATGAGTTGTATGCTAGGTCGATCGGGGTTTTCACTGACCTAAAAACAGTGCTTCCTCGTCATAAAAAAAAAATCAATAATGACCACCCCTGGCATGTGACCTAGAGCAATACTACCCCATAATTGGAGGACCATTCTTGCCAACAATGTACTGTGTAAATTTTAAGATAGCTTGTCCTTTGATTCTTCTGCCTACAGACAGAACAATAATGTCATGAGGTTTATTATTAAGTAGCTTTTCTCTGAGATAACTTTATTATTGATCATTTTAATATTTCTCATTTCATTATTCGGCTAGCAAATGATAGCTAGGGATCATTCAAGTCGTTTGCTTGTGGAGCTTTTTTATATTGTATGTGCTGAAGTGAAGGATTTAAAAGGAAAATTGCTGTGTTAGAAGATTCTGAAATAAATTGTATAAAGATGAACTTGAAAATTATTAAATTTACTTTGAGATTAATGCTTCATACGAGGAATTGTTATTGCACTAATCTCATATCCAGTTCAACAATTTTAAAGCCCCTTCTGATACATTTATATATATCAAGATATTCTAACATGATTTTTATTTATTTTAACTTGATTATGCTTGTGTATTTTACACAATAATTTCTCCTTTAACTAAGGGTCTATTTGAAGCGATCATAATTTTGTTATTATTATTTTTTTCCTTTTTATTTGAAGCGAATATAGTGTTTTATAAAGTTGGTTGTGAAACTGCGATAGCTATTTTGGTTGCAAAAAATAATTTTTTATCACAAATAAAAAAAAATACTTGTATTATTATTATATCTCTTACCAATTTAACTCAGATGAAAATTTATCTTCTTAGCAATTTCAAGTTATACATTCATAAACTTGTTAATTTTATTTGAATTAATTAATTTTTTTTTTTAAAACGATTAGCTCCCTTTTAATTTTCTTTTAAGAAAATATCCAATTCTTAATAATCAAATTAAGTAAACACCTTTTTAAAAATTATCTCTTTGGTGCCACTTTTTCTATATTTTGATTATTTTTTGTTAAGTTAAAATTTAACTATTATTTGTGAAGTTAAAAATAATTATAAATAAACTAAGAGTAATTTTTTTCTTCTCACAATTAATAATCAAGCTTATTAAAACAAATTGACAAGTATCTAAAAAAAATTATTGCATATTATGTGAAATTAGTATTTATTAGTATTTTTTAATAAAATATGCTATAAAATAAAGTCCTATTGCCTAAACAGAAGTAAAAATACAACTAAAATATATTATTGCAGATGTTTTGATTAAAATTCTATTCCTAATAGTGGTACGAGGATTTGTATTTAGTGCTTGAGGTGTCTAAGGGTATAAACGAGTCAAGTCGAGCTCGAGTCACCCCTAGTTTGAGTTTGAGCTTAACTAAATAATCAAGTTCGAGCTCAAGC